CGCAAGGCAAAAAAAAAAACGCCACAGGCAAAAAAAAACGTTTTTACCTGTAAAGCTTTTTTTTTGCCTTGCGTGTTGCAGCCGGTCCATCCTGCTCCCGCTCCCCACCTCTCCTCCGTCCTTCTCGTGATGTCATCCGCCTCCCTCCTCCCGCCACTCTTTCCTCGTCCATCCCGCTCCCTCTCCCCATGTCTCCTCCGCCCGCCCCCCCGTAAAACCATCCCGTCACGGTTCGCCCCCCCCCATCCCGCCCTCCCTTTTGATCATCCCGTTCCATCTCTCCATCTTTCCTCCGCCTGCCCCCCGCAAAAGAATCCCCTCGTCGCTCGCCTCCCTCATCTCGTCACCCCTTTCCTGTCCGTCCCGCTCCCGCGCCCCGTCTCTTCTTCATCCTCGCCCCGTAGACCCCTAACACCCTCGCCCGTCGCCTCCCTCATCTCCTCCCTCCTCCCCCCTCCCCAGGTCCTCCCCACCTTCGGCGGCGCGCAGGCGGGGTCAAGGCCTCCTCTGAGAGATTGGCCCTCCCGTCTTGCGCGCCGCCTTCCTCACTCCTTCCCAAGACCTCTGACGGACGACCCGATTTGTTTCTGGCTCTTTCACCCCTGGGCCGCCATCTCATCCCGAGTCGTTCTCTGACGGTTGCCGGACCCAGGAACGCCAGCCAGACGCCACAAGGTCGACACTACGAAAGACCCTCCAGCGCGGTTTGCCTACGTCCCCTGGCCCTCCAGAGGACTTCAGAGGCCCCCGGATCCCAGGCCTTCAGTGGAGGAGGAGCAGGAAAAGAAGCAAGAGGAGGTGGAGGAGGAGGCGGAGGCGGAGGAGCAGGAGGAGCAGGAGGAGGAGGAGGAGGAGGAGGAGGAGGAGCCAGAGCCTGCTGCCGGCGGGGGTGGCCGCGCCTGCTCCCGGACGGCCCGGTGTGCGCATCTTTTGTTCGGCCTCGGGGGCCCTGAGCCGCACCTCGCGGGCGGAGAGAGCAGCTGCGCTGCGGCGGCCCCGTGGGGCCGTTTGTGCCCCGCGAGCGCGGGGTGCTCCCAGTCTTACCAGCCTCGAACGTATCCCTATCCCTAAGATTGACACGCCACAAGGCGATGACAATCTTAGGGATCTGCCCTCAAAAAATAAGGGCATCCCTAAGATTCGCATCGTGATGAGGAGGTGCCCAGCATAGGGATAGGGATATGTTCCAGGCTGGTAAGAGTCGCGTGTGCCCCGCGCGCGGAGCGTGCAGTCAACGCGCACAGGAAGTCGGGGGCGGCCAAGAGGGGGGTGGTGGCCAGGGGGGCTGGATGTCACGGCGGGGGCCATGATGTCTCCCCAGATTTCAGGGCGCCTCATGTCTACGTCCCTGGCCCCCCTCCTGGGCCGCGCACAGGCCCGCGCCCCACCCCCTCGTGGCCCCCCTTTCTGGCCGCCCCCGACTAAGGACGCACGCCTTTTCTAGGGTACCCTGGTGTCCTTGTTCCTCGCCTCTGCGGCCAGTCCTCTGCCGTTTCCATTGGGGTTTTGGTCGCCCGCCGTCCAAAGCTGCCCAACTTCGGCCTCCAAGGGTCTTGCGACCTTACCACTCGTACTTACTATACGTTTTCACTGTATCCGCACGAGCGCGCGTCCGCGGGGTCGCGCTCCGGAACAGGTATGTGCGCCGGTCGTGCGAGTTCTCCTTTGGGATACAGTCAGAAACCGTTTGCTCAGCGTGCCGCGCCACCCGTTCTGTCCCACCATGGTTCGGCGTGACATGCTGGCCACTTCTCGGTCCCCGAGCGTCAACGTCCCGAGCTGTTCCCAGCCTCCCGCTCTGCGCAGGGAAGCGACACGCCATCCGTTTACACATGCCATCCGCCGGGGCCACCGCTGCGGCAGGCTACGCAAAAGTCCCCGACCGTAGGCCGAGGCTTCCGGGGCGGCTGGCGTGCGCACAAGAGCCATTGGGCGGTTGTGTTTCTGTGCAGAGGTTCAGTTTGAGGCAGGACGCAGGTTAGGTCTATGATGTTCCAACCTACTTGAGCCTTGGTCACCAGAAAGAATCGGAGCACCAGGTCACGTGTCGGGCCCTCGGAGGCGATACTCGCTTGACACTGTTTCGATACGGTTCTGGGTGCTCGAACTTATTTCTGGGATGTCGTCCTTAAGTACGATGTGGTTCTTAAGTAAGATGGGAGCTACATGAGGTTGAGTGCAGCCATCGTGCTACCAGGGGGAACGTTGACTAGAGAACGAAGGGGCCTCCCGGACCGCAGCGTGCCTCGGCCACGAATAAGCTTCCCGACCTAGATTTAGGTCGGGCATGTCCCTCTACAGGAGGAATATTAAAACATAGTCAAAAATATTCAGGGGGCGATTTTTCTTTTATTTTTATATATCCATATATTTCTCTTTACAACACATGACTATGGTTTGTTTGTCTTCCAACATCCGCCTGTAGGGGGACACTCCCGACCAAAACCGAATGAGACCGACGCAGCGGCCCGGAAACCCGAGCCCCTCCTGAGCCCAAAGTGGTTCTTATTGTGGAGACCTTACGGCCAGTTCCGCCGACCCTGGAGGCGGGACCTCCCCCAGGAAGGACCACCCCCGCTGACCGGGGACCGCCCGAGGACCCCCCTCCCTGGGGAGGACATCCTGTCCACATGGGGGACCGCCCCCCAGGACCCGCCAAGACCCTTGGGTGGGTGGCCCTGGGAGGGGGCCCGTACAGTGCCGTTTTTGATACATGCTCCGCGTGTGGATCATGTATTGAAAATGCAGGGACGTAGTATTAAAAACAGCGATGAGCTCATGCATAAACTTATTCATGAATTCATCCTGTATTCAAAATCCTATATTTTTAAAATCCTATGTATTACAAAACGGCCCTGTCATCTCTTGTCCCCCCCAGTCTACAAGGGGACCCAGATGGGAGGCGGGGCGGTAATCAGACCAGGGGCTCCAGGCATCTGCTCCCCCGTCCACAGGGTGGACCGTGGACCATCCCCCGGGACCCGCCAGGACACCCAGGGGAGGTGGCAATTTGATCTGGGACCCCTCCCCCCCCGTACCCGCTCCCTCCCTCCCCTCCCCGCACCCCCGCCCCCGTGCCCCAGTCAGAGAATCGGCTTCAGTACGACCTTTTTTTTCGTCCGTTTTCAGTTCCCTTGGGACTGGCGATGAGACGACGACGACGACGACGACGACGACGACGACGACGACGACGACGACGACGACGACGACGACGACGACGACGACGACGACGACGACGACGACTACGACAGCGTCTCACACAGGCCGAAGGATTAGCGAATTTCAGCGTCTTGACTGCACCTCCGTTTGCCAACGTCGTATTCCCTTCTGTAGCCTGGGCCGCCTGACGTTCTCAGGTGTTAGGCTCCCTGTATTTTATGGCACTTGTGCGGCCAATGTGGCTAGGCACAGCACCTGTGCGCCATGGTCCCTTAAAGCGGGTTTCTTTGTGTTTCCCATTGACAAAATGCGGCCAGGACAGCGATAGTCATCTCTTGTCTTCTCCTCCCTCCGCCGTCTCCACCCCCCCCTCCTGATCGCCAGAGTCGTCATTGCTGGTCGTCCTCCTCCTTTCCATTACCGCGCTTACCCACGCGCGCGTCCAGTACAACCCGCGACGGTCGACCATGCTTGATTTTTTTATGGCACCCGTTCTATCAACAGCTTTCAGGGCACATGCAGAATATTGTTGCATACAACTTAACAGCCACTTCTAGATGACTTTTCGTCCTCTTGAGCGACGCCAGCAAAAAACACGTGGTCGTCGGCGCCAACGTTGGTGCGGAAGCTGCCCGCGTAATGTCGCGCGTGCGCGCCATCGTCTGCAGCGCAGCGTGCCGCACTGCTGGCTCGCGTATGATCGCTGTGTCATCTCGCGTAAGACTTGTTTTTGTTCGTGGCACACCTGCGCAGCACATTTAGGCATCTTGTATACCACCGTAAATCCACCTCCGCCATGGCAGTGACTTGGGCGCCCGCGGGGGCGAACGGGAACACAAACAACGACCAGGAAGACATTTCTGATGGCGAGGTTACACGCCGTATCATTTGAAACATACGCTTTTCGCCCGCCTTCAGACCGCTTGTGGACCACTGCCAGATACATGTTAGAGCACCAGTTGGCCGTCCGGTCGCGAACTTGGCAGTGCGAGGGCCAAGCAGGACAGTGGTAAGGGGATGAGGAGGACAAGGAACAGGAGGAAGAGGAACAAGGAACGAAACAAGAAGATTCCCATGATGACAGGGGAGGGGAGGGGGAGGAAGATGAGGAGGACGAGCAGGAGCAGGAGGATGAAAAATCAAGAGTCGCTTCGAACACGCGCATTACCAGTGGATTGGGCGGGTTAAAACTACAGGGGGGATGGGGAGGGCTCGCGTACTGCAGAGGTAGCGGTGGGGAGGCGGGGAAGATACGCGCGACAAGACGTGGCAACCTGAACGGTTGCAGCGGGGGGCTTGCGTTGCAGGCAGAAGCCGCCCATAGCCCCGTCCTCGCGCGGGGCTTCGCGACGCACTTGCAAGGGTGAGTTGGCGGGCGCGTTCCACTACTCGCAAAATTCCTACTCGCAAACGTCCGAACAAAAACAAGTTTTCCGCTATGTAATAGATCGTAGATCCCCCGCGGCGGATCCAGGCCATTTGCGAGTAGCTATTTTGGGAGTAGTGGAACGCGCTCGTCCAGTGAAGGTGGTGGCCACGGCGAGGATGTGGCCCCTTGGAGGTCGCGCCTCTCGGGCGGCTGGCGACGCCTGGGGGTGCACTGCTCAAGCTGGGCGCCCCCGCCGAAAGCACAGGACCAACGCCCATCCTTAAGTCGAGCGTGTCCCTCTGCAGAATGGATATTCAATAATAGTCACAAAATAGTCTGGGGACAATTTTTCGACTGTTTTTGATATTTTGTTGTATTTTTGGCCAGTGGGGGCAATTTGCAATCTCTCTCCGCAAGAATCCGCACATGCCCGACCGAAGTCCGGCGCTGCCGTCCGCCGGGGGGGCGTCCGCGCGCCGCCCGCGAGGGGCTCGACGCCGCCCTGGTGGTCTACGACGTGGCGTCGCGCGCCAGCTTCGACAGCGTGAGCAGCTGGATGCGGCTGCTGCAGGCTCCCCCACCCTCTCTCTTAGGCCTGCCCTCCTCGATGATTGTGATGACGATGGCGGCATTGGTGATGACGACGGCGACAATGACAATGACGATGATGATGATGATGATGATGATGATGATGATGATGATGACGACGATGATGATGATGATCATCATCATCATGATCATGAGCATGATCATGATCATCATGATCATGAGCATGATCATGATCATGATCATGATCATGATTGTGATGATGGTGGTGGTGGTCATAGTGATGGTGACGACTGTAGTGACAGTGATGATGGCGATGCTGATAAGGATGGTGATGCTGTTTATGGTGATGATCATGATGCTGTTGATAGTAATCAGGATGGATACGATAATGATGATGATGGTGATGATGATGATGATGTCGATGATGGTAATGCTGATGATGATGTTTGTGGTGATAGTCATGATGGTTGGGGTAACAGTAATGGCAGTGATGTTGGCGATGAAGACCATTTGACGAGGATGAGGAGGAGGATGCTGATGACGATGCGGATCCTGATGCCGATTGTTACGTTGCTGCTGTTCGTGATGATGGTTATGATGATGGTGATGATGCTGACGATTGTGTTGATGATGGTCAATGTGAGGATGATGGCGACTGTGATGGAGATGGAGATGGTGATGGTGATTATGATGATGCTGATGATGGTTGATGATGGTGATGATGCTGATGATGATGCTGATGCTATGCTGATGCTGATGATGCTGGTGAAGATGATGATGACGATGATAACGATTATGCTGATGTGAATGATGACGCTGATGACGCTGACGATGATGATGAGGATGGTGCTGGTGATGATAATGATGCTAATGGTGAGAATCATGATGGTGATGACGATGATGCTGACGACGATGATGATGATGATGATGATGATGATGATGATGATGATGATGCTGATGATGATGATGATGATGATGCTGATGATGACGATGATGCCGCTGATGATGCTATTGTTGATGCTGACGATGCTGATGCTGATGATGATGCTGATGGAAGTGGTGGTGGTGATGGCGATGACGACGATGGAGGAGGAGGAGGAGGAGGAGGAGGAGGAGGAGGAGGAGGAACAAGCAGATGACGTTGATGGTGTGGGCGAGGGTAATGAAGGGGGATGGCGACGAGGCGGAGCAGGTGGATGATAAGAGGACTGGGTGAGTGGTAGCAGAGGGGGGGTAGGGATGACTGTTAGGGAGACGAGAACAGATGGCTCAGATGGAGCAGCAACGAGGAAGAAACCGCGAGGAAGGAGGAGGAGCAGGTGGAGGAGGAGGGGCAGGAGGAGGAGGAAGAGGGACTGACGGGGCACGCGAAGGAGGAGGGCAAGTTATGCAGGATGGGCTCTAGAATTGGCCGCGAAAGGAGGGGGATGGTCGGCAGCTGGGGCAGACTGATTGACGCGGCCACGTCAGGCGAGGGGTGGCAGGCATCATGGCCATCAAGTGGTTCCCTCGCCCTGCTGTATCCCCTTCTTCGTTCTCCAAGCTCTCCCCCTCTTCCGTTTCTGCATCCTCCGCCCCCCTCTCTCCCCGCGCTTCTCTTGTGCGCTCCTGCACCGAGTTTGCCGGCCTCCGATGTATGGTAGGCTGCGCTCGGTGTTGTCCGCAGGGTTCGTTCCCACTCCAGGTAACCCGACGTTCGATGCGTTTTGTGTTGTGCGCTGTGATGTTTCCTTCTTGCCGTGCACTTGAAATCTAATTGTTTTGCGTGCGTGGATACGGCAGAACGACCACTCAGCATATCGTGTGCGTGCACGACAGCGCGGGGCATTTCTCTGATTGGCTTTTCTTAATGTCTGTTTGTCAATCAGTTGAGATAAGACTTCGGTTTGCATCAGAGGGTCAGTTAATTCCCTGTGGCGTTCTGGATCTTGTGCCTGAGCACGTTTATGACAAGGATTCGAGTTTTTGGATGTTCTTCTCATTGTGTTCTTGCCCGCCCGGACCGCATTGTTTGCAGCTTAATTGCATATTGTTTCTCTGTATGTTGTGGACGCTGCTCTGCATTTCCTCGCACGTAATCGGTTTCTGATCGCGCCAGGCGCATGGTGGCTCGCAGGTGAGTGTCATGCTCGTTGGCAACAAGGCGATCCGGCGATCCGCTCGCGAGCGTGGCAGCTTCTTTACCAGAACATACCACCGTTGTTGCGTTCACGCGGCGGTGCCCTGCGCCATTGTGATGCGACCCGCCGTCGCTGTCACGCGCATCTGCAGACTCACGCAAACACGCTGCTGGCTCTGCGCGGCGCGTTTCGCTTTCTTTGTTTACCAGAATACTCCGTTATCTTATTTTCAGTACCGTTAGCCGATGTCTCCGGGGTCTTCAAAAATTTGTTAGCGGACATCTTTGAACATTCCGTGCGTTCCCAGAGGCCCCCGGATGCCTCCAGAGTCTCCGAAGATAATATCGAACGCCTACACATGGGTATCCTGAAGTTTTGTTTGCAGGGGAGAGGGTTGAAGGAGAGAAGAATAGGGGGAAGGAGGAACTCTGGGTTGGGATTCTTATGACTGGCCAGCATTTTGATCAATCATGCGTCTCGTCACTTTCAGTTGTGCGCCGTCAGTGAGCTCAATTTTGAAAAGGAACTGCCCTTTCTTTACGCTTCAAGCTTTAAAACGAGTGTGCGCGGCGCAAAAGTTGTTAGCCGCATTTTGAAATTGTTCCAGCGTCCACCATTGATATTGTTGCAGACTTTGAACGAATTTGCACACCGTCAAGGCGAGAGCCACATTTTGCAAACGATCTGGCCTCGAATGGTCAATATTCTGCAATCCCTTCGAACGGATGTGCGCGTCGCCGAGGCGGGCGCAACCTGTTGAAAGGATTGGGCGTCCATCTTCCGAGCGGTAGCATGTTTTTCAGATGAATGTGCGCGGCGCAAGGCGAACATTTCGATGTGAAGATGCTCAGCCGTCCACCTTTACAGCTGTCGGATTTTTTCGCTCGCGAAACTCCCAGCCCAACCTTTGGACAAGTCTGGCTGCGCGAGAGGGGAAGCTGCTTGTATGAGAGAGGGATGGAGGAGGCGGAGGAGGAGGAGGAGGGACAGGGTAGTGCTTCGCCGATGTACTGATGCCCGAAGCTACCCTGAGATCCGACGTCGCGAAACAGATGCGCCTGAGCCCCAGACCCCTTCTCCCGCTGCAGTGAAGAATCGCCCGTTGTGAAACAACTGCGACGCCAGGATCCCAGGGCACCAGCTACAGTCGAATCCGATGATGAGGACGGGCAGCCGTCCCAAGGGTACCATTCCGTCCTTGCCTCTTCGCTCCATCCGTGACCGCTCTCGCTGGCCACGCCCCGCTCGAAAAGCTTCGACAGGGGCGTCCAAGGCCCCTTCATCCTGGTCGCGCGGCCTTGCTATCAGTGTTGACTGTTCCAGGATCCAAGACATTCGGGCGGCTGGAGCCGGAGGAGGAGGAGGAGGAGGAGGAGGAGGAGGAGGAGGAGGAGGAGGAGGGGAGGAGGACGAGGAGGACGAGGAGGACGAGGAGGTGGAGGAGGAGGAGGAGAGAGGAGAGGAGGAGGAGGAGGAGATAGGAGGAGGCAGGGGGAGGAGGAGGAGGAGGAGGAGGAGGAGGGGGGTCGGAGGAGGACGACGAGGGGAGCACCACGGCCGCCACCACGGGCCGGCTCCCGCCGCCGCGGGCGCGCGACACGCAGCTGCAGCGACGAACGTCTGGCGCGGCCATCGCGCCCTCGGCGTGCGGGCGGCAGCTCAGAGGAGGAGCACTCCTCCTCCTCCTCCTCCTCCTCCTCCTCCTCCTCCTCTCATTTCTCCCATCGCCCTCTCCCTCCCTCGCCTCTCCCATCTCCCTCCCTCATCCCTGTCCCGCTCCCCGCTCCTCGTTCCCGCGTCCCCCGCATTCCCCTGGCCCCTGGGCTTCACCCTGGGCTCGTTTTCCCCTCTTCGGGGCCTCTTGGGAGGCCCTCGTCGCCACTGCTGGATGCGCCTCGAAGTCCCGGTCCGGACGCACCCCGGGGGAGAGGTCCGGGGCGCAGCAGTATTGGCCCCTCTTGGCCTCCCCGCAGCCCTGCGGCGGCGAGCACGCCGCGTCCGAGGCCAAGCTCGCTGTCCAGTGGCAGCGACAGGAAGGGATAGGCGATTCGGGGTGGGGGATGCGTCGTCCTCAGCCGTTCTCTGATCGCCAATAGGGGCCCGATGACCAACCCCGCCCAGGGCCCAGCAGATCCGCTATCAGGGGTCCGGCGCCGATCCATCGGCGATGCACCGCCGACTTCGTGTCGATGTCCCCCCCCCTTCCAAGGCGGCCTCCCCTATCGTTGCCCCTCAGGTTTCTGTCAAGCAGTGGCGGAGCCTCCCGGCTCGCCTAATTATAGCCCCACCAAAAATGTTATAAGACCTTTTGTATTATGCACGAGCTGTTCTTAGAACATTTCTGGTTTAGACTGTCTTGGTTTAACACATCGGGTTATGTTCTAAGAACATTGTTTTTGTTCTCAGAGCATTTCTGGGTTCTAAGACAATTTCGTGGTAGCACTGTTTTTTCATCCTGAGTCGTTTTCTGACGGACCCGTGGCCCGGCGAGGGCCCCCAAGGGCCGAAAATAGTGAAAAGTTCGCCGTCCTGATTTGTTTTCTACGACGCGAGCCTATTTGTGTGGGGAGGAGGAGGAGGAGGAGGAGGAGGAGGAGGAGGAGGAGGAGGAGGAGGAGGAGGAGGAGGAGGAGGAGGAGGAGAGGAGGAGGAGGAGTAGGAGCGAGGAGTGAGGAGATTGAGGAGGAGGAGGAGGAGGAGGAGGAGGAGGATTGAGTGGATGGAGGTGGAGGAGGAGGAAGAGGAGTAAGAGGAGAAGGAGGAGACGTGAGGAGTGAGGAGTGAGGAGGGTGGAGGGCGGCGCCCCCCCCCCCCCCGAGACTCGGGGGCGAGGCGCCCGCGCGCGCCCGCGGAGGCCGACCTGCCCTCCCGGGCGGTGCCGCCGGAGCAGGGGCGGGCCGTGGCCCAGGCGGCGCGCGCCCGTCGGGCCGCGGGCCCGCGTCGGCGGCCGTGCTGCTCTGGGGTGGACGACAGGGGGGGAATTGGGAAAGGGGGGGTTACGCAATTTGCTGCATGCAGCTGGTTTCAACCCCGCCGAGGGGTCCGTTCCTCGATGCATGGCCGCCTCCCGGCGCCGGGAAAGTCAGCTACGTGAGCTGATTCTCAAACCCGCCCTTTGCTATCCCCCGCTTTCGCCCGACCCGAGTGTTGCTCGGGGGTGGACAGACCTCCTACCATGACACGTCGACTAGCGAGTTGGTCGTGTTCGGTTCGCGAGACGGCGTTTTCGGCCGTCATTTTCGCGGGTCCAGATCCGTCGGTTTCGGTCCCAGGCCGTTTTCACGAAAGGGAGGTTTACTACAGGGAGGTTTGTCCACCGCCGAGTTGCGGGCCAGACTCCAGACTGGTGCTCGTGCAGGGGGGCCTACGCCAAGAGACAGGCTGCTCGCCTCCAGGCCCCCCCGAGGAACGAACAGGTCGCGGCAGGAGGTGTTTGTCGTTTTCGGCATTTGGGGGCCCTCGCCGGGCCTCGGGGCCGGCAAAAAAAACGACTCGGGATGAGAAACCGGTCCTGGGGAATGGGTCGAGACCTCTGGGAGTCGAAGTTATGAGAAAATATGACGTCGGGGGTCTGGGGACGTGCAGCGTCGATTCACGATGTCGGCTACAGTGGGGGCGCATGCCAAGAAGCACCCTGCTTGCCTCCCGGGTGCCCTTGGTTTCTTGGGTTTCGATGGTTCTGCGATGGAGAGCGTGACGTTCCTGCCCCAAAACTCCATGGGCGCCCTGGGGTTTCAGCGTTGGGTTTCTGGTAGAAGGTTTCTTGTAGACTGGCCTCCACTGTATCCACTGCAGCTTGGAGTTTCGTGCTCCCTTCCCCGGAAACCCAAGGCGCAGTGGATGTGTGTAAGCACCGCTTGTTGAAAGTAGTTGTTTTGCTTCCCAGGGCCCAATCTACTTCAAGCGCTTTCCTACTTCAAAAACCGGCATGGTTTGGCAGCTGTCTGTTATTCTTTTTGGCGGGCCCGAACCCAATCTACTGTTAACGCCTTCCTGCTCAAAGTTCCTACCTGCTTCTTCCGACCGATGGGTGAACGCCTGACTCCTAGAGGCTCGATGTTTCTCCATGCCCAGTGCGCCTCGGACTTGTGGCGCCCCCTCCCGAATTGTCCACAAGTCTCCCTGGCCCGAGCCCTTCGCCGGCGACTCCCCTATGCAGGCGCGCGGGATGCCTCTTTGCTTCGCACCGGGCGTTCGCGCCTGGCCTCGGGCCCCGGGGCCATGGCATCGGCGTCGACCCAACATACTGATGCTATGTGTGCGTCGGCCATCCCAGGGGCGACGCGCGCACCGAGAAGTCTGGTAGTATGTGCGTCGTGGTGGTCGCTTTCCAGCCACAGCGCTCGGGAAAGCATATTCTACAAGATGGGTACACTATGTGTTCGGGTGGGACGCGCGCCTCCAAGGAGGACATATTCCTATTTATATATTTTTACATGGCCGGGGACCCCTGAAAAGCGGCACCCGGTGCCCCCCCCCCCCAAACGAATTTCGGCCTCCCCGAGCCTTGGGGGCGCTCCTGCAGAGTGCTCCGTGTCTGTCCTGCGAGTGCGTCGCGAAAAAAAAAAAAACCCACGACGGCCAAAGAGGGCCCCGAGACACCCAAGGATCGGCCCAAGACGCCCAATCTGGGCCCAAGACTGCCCAAGACGCGTCCAAGACGCTCCCAGAGACCCCCAAGAGGCCTCCCAAGAGAGCCCCGAGAGGCTACAATTGTTGATTTCCTTCTGTTTTTTTCAAATGTTTTTGGCCTTCTCGCTTTTCCCGCTTCCCGACGCTCCACAATGGCCCAAGAGGCTCCCTAGATCGCCCCAGTACTGCCCACGAGGCCCCCAAGAAGGCCCCGACACGGTCCAGGAGGGCTCCGAGACCGCCCAAGAGGCGCCCAAGACGTCCCAGGAGAGCACCAAGACGGCCCCAAGAGAGACCCAAGAGGGCGCCCAAAAGTTTTTTAACAAAAAAAAACGACAACGAGTTTTGGGGGCGTCGGAAACGTGAGTCATGGCCCGAAAACCACGCGGGGGCATCAAGGGAGGAGAAGGAGGGGGGAGGGAGGAGGAGGATGAGGGTGAAAAGGGGGGCGAGGACGAGGAGGAGGGGGACATGGAGGAGGGAACGAAGACGAGGGGAGTGGGATACGGGGGATTGAGCACCTGGACGCGGTGCCCTTGCCTACCTTACCGGAGAGGGCCGGCCGAATCCGAGGAGCCCCTGCGGGATTTCAAAACCTGCGCCGCCTCTTGCACTACCTTCGGGTCCCCTTGGCGGCTTGGGAAAAACCGTTTGTAATTCGGGGGGTTCTCTCGCCCTTGCCGCTTGACTCGCAGAGAGGCCGAGCGGCACCGCGCCGCGCCGCCAGGGATGGGGAGAATCGACAAAAAAAGAAGCGGAGAGGGGGGAGAGGAAGAGGAGGAGGAACAGGAGGAAGAGGAGGAGGGGGAGGTGGAGGATGAGGAGAAGGAAAGGGAAAGGGGAAGGAGGAAAAGGAGATAACGTAAAGTAGTCTAATCCGCTTCGCCAGAGATATGCTCGCAACTCCGACCTCAGAAGCGCCTTGCTTCGCATCGGTCCCGCCGTTTTCGCTTGAGACATCATCGCAGCTCTGGGGCCCGAGACACTCTCATTTGAGGTGTTCCAGCCACTGTCGCCTGAGACACTCTCGCAAGTCTCACTTCGGAGGTGCCTTGCACCGTGGTGGTTCGGCCACTTTCGCGTGCGACTTCTCGCAACTCTAAGTTCAAGGATGCCCTGAGCAGAGGTGTTCAAACCACTCCTCGCTTGAAACTTCCTCGCGCGGCTGACTTCGGATATGCCCTCCCCTGAGCGGAGGTGTTCAGGCCACTTTCACCCGGGGCGCCCTCGCAACGGTGACTTCGGCGACGCACTGTCCCATGGTAGTCTGGCCACGTTTGCCTGAGACCCTCGCGCCTTTCAGTGGCGCGATGCTATGAGCAACTGGTCAGGCCACTACCGCCTGATATACGCATGTGTATGCGCGCGCATAGTTACAATGACCGTTTGCACATACATGTACACATCCATGCAAACGTATACATATATGTACATATGTACTATGCATTCATAGACGCATGTGTGTGCGCATGTACGCATGCTCGCACTCCACTAGCGTGCGAATTCCAAAGGACCAAGGTGCATGGCGCGCAGCGCCAATGCAGTCTTGTATATATATATATATAGTACTAGTATGTCTCTGCGCATCCCATCGCAGATCGATCCGGCTGGATAAATGGTCGCGGCGGCGCCTCGGCGTCCCGTCGGACCTGCGTGTGCCGTCGGCGGCCCTGGCGCCGCGACGTCGTCGTCGGTGGTCGGCGTCGGCGGCGGGCGTCGGCGTCGGCGTCGGCGTCGTCGGGATGTGGTTCCGCGAGGTTTGCTTGCTTGGCTTGCTTGGCTTGCTTGGCTCGCTTGGCTTTGGCATCACTGCCCCCTTTCGGGCCCTCTGTCATGGAGGGATGTCCCGAGCATCGCCCACGACTTGCTTCGCGGCGTCTTCTGGCCCTCTGAAGGCCCTGGGCCCTCTGTCGTGGAGGGCTGTCCCGAGCAACTGCAGGGTCTCCCGCCCGCGATTTGTTTCGCGGCGTCTTCGCGCGCACCGACGGCCCCACTCCTGCCTCCGCCAAGGACCCGCTCGTGAGTTTGACCCACTGACGGCCCACATCGTGAATTCGATTCACCGGTGGTCCAGTAATTCATAGGTTTTGAAATTCATGGTCCACCAGTGATCTTCGGATTGATCACTTCATCTCGTCCAATCTCTGTTGGACTTGAACAGATCAGCAGCGCCTAACCGCAGCCTTCGGAAACAAGAGTCACCCCCCTTTTCGGTACTGGTGAAACTATATCGCTTCTCGCCCCTGGAAGGGGAATCCCGTCTCAGACCCCTCAGCGCGGGATCCCACCAAGATCCTCATAGTATTCGAACAAGGCCCAAATCGGATTCCGATGAGAACCCAACAAGGTTGCAATTTGAACAAAGCAAGATCCGATCGGACTCTAATCGGACTCCGACAGGGTTCAAGAAGGGTCTTTGTAGGATCGACTCCCAGTAGGATTCCACCATGGGACCCCCCCGTAGAAGTTCACCATGGGAGTCCCCCGTCGGACTCACCATGTGGGATCCCCCTGCGGATTTTCCCCGTCAAATTGTCGTGGTGCCAACGATCTCTCTTCCTCGGGCCCTCCCCCCTCGGGAATGAATTTGGGCCTTCGAGCGTTACGGACACAGCCGGGGGAACCATTACTGCTTCGAACGGTTCATCGCATGACCATTGGCGAGCCATCAGTTGTGCCCAACGGGTTTGTGGAGCAGTTCGAGGCCATCGCCCTTCGATCTCTGGAGCGGAAAAGGTTTCTGGAGAGGAGGCCAGCAGGCGGTTCGTTGCAGCCACGCTCGCATGATCCCCGCCCAGGGCCGAGAAGGCTCCCTCCGTCGAGGGCAGGAGGAGAGGAGAAGCGACACCACCAGCAGGCCCCCTGCCCCGAGGAAGGCCACGATATCCCCCCCCAAGCTGTGGGTTGGCACTGTCTCGGGCGAGGGGTCGCGACAAACCAGGAGGGCCGCGCCAACACGCGGACACTCCCTGACTTTGAAAATGCAATTGCTGGGATGTGAAATTCAGATGCGTGGCCGGAACCGATTTAGCGGTGTGTGTGTGTGTGTGTGTGTGTGCGCCGGTGTATCCGCGGCCGGAACCCATTTAGCACGTTTCGACCTTGCTTCATCCGACCTATTCTTGGCCTCATGGGCTGATATGGCTCAATGGTCCCTCAATCGCGCTGCATAGTCCTCGGTCTTTCTTGCGAAGACATTCCAGGACTTTGCTCCGAATTTCCTGCCTCCTCGCGATGGTGGCGGTGCCGAATTCGCTTTGCCGAACAAGAAAGATCAGCATGAACATATCATGTTGGAGGTGCTTGCGGATTTTGTTTGTGAATCGCCGCTTCCCTTGCGTGCGGAGCGCGTCAGGGGCGGCGCCAGAAGCGCTGACAGGGGGTTCCAGCGCCGATCCAAGAAATCCGCGAGGACCTCTGACAGTCGTTTATGCTATGCAGATGTATGTTTCTTCTCCTCCCCGCTTTCCTCGGCACCGCGCAGGCGCTGCGCATCCCTCTCGCAGAGGTGTCTGCGCTCAAGGATGCCGACGTATCGGCCCTGCTGGACACGCTGTTGCAAGGCGGGATGGGACGGGTGCCACGGCAATCGCACGGGGGAGGAGGCCTCACGGGGAAGAAAACGCTTCGTAAACATAAACATTCGGAGTTCCGAGCGCGGATTCTTCGGATATGCGCTGCTCCCCCCCCGTTGCGGCGCTTTCGGCGCCGCCCCTGGCGCGCGCGCACGCCAGGGAGGGGGGGTCCAGCGCCGATGCAAGAAGTCCGCGCGGATCTCCAAAAGTTTTTGTGTTTGCTGTTCGCTCCTCTCCTACAGTGGAGTCCCATGCCAAGAAGCACCCTGCTTGCCTCCAGAGTGCCTGGGTTTCTTAGATTTAGATGGTTTCGCTATGGAAGCCGTGACGCTCCCACACCAAAAGTCCGTGGACGTCCTGGGGTCTCAGGGTTGGGTTTCTTGTGGAAGGTTTCTTGTGGTCGGGCTTCCACTGTACACACGTCCCATACCCCCTGCGCTGTGAAAAAGATGACGACGGCAGGTTCCTGGCAGTTTTCGGCCTCCAGTGGCTTTTGCCAGGCCTCGGCCGTCACACAGATCCGACGCCTCGGCGACCAAGCGACGGGCGTCCAGTTTGCCGCTCGGGCTTCGAGGAGGAGGGAAGGAGGAGGGAAGGAGGAGGAGGAGGAGGAGGAGGAGGAGGAGGAGGAGGAGGAGGAGGAGGAGGAGGAGGAGAGGGAGGAGCGAGGAGCGAGGAGCGAGGAGCGAGGGGCGAGGAGCGAGGGACGAGGAGCGAGGAGGAGGAGTAGGAGGAGGAGCGAGAAGGAGCGATGAGGAGCAGGAAGGAGCGAGGAGCGAGGCGCGAGCCCGTTCTCTCTCTCGGCCCGCTGGTGGGCGCTGCCGGCAGCGGCCAGGGCTGGTCACTGATCGCGGGGTGCCGCCGTGGGCACGCAGGTCCGCTGCTCCTCGGTCGGCCGGAGCGTGTCCGGCGGTGGCCCGCGACTGTGCGTTTCTGCAGGGAGGGGTGGCGCAGAGCAGGAAGGAGATGGGTGTTCGGGGGTGGACAGGACCCCCACCCTGACACGTCGACGACGAGGACGAGGACGCGGACGAGGACGACGACGTGGACGAGGACGAGGACGAGGACGAGGACGAGGACGACGAGGACGAGGACGAGGACGACATCATCAACGACAACAATCATTTTAAGGCTGTTCGCTCCGATCCGACCGCGTGCCATTCAGCACATCAATCCCAAACCCTGGGTCCCTGCCCTCTTCGAATTCGGTTGCACCCCCTACCTGCCACGTGTAGTTCGCGCGGCCCCTGAAACAGGGGAAGAGAGGATGGATGGAAGGGGGAGCGAGACGGATGGAGCACGAGAGAGTCTAGCAGGAGGGGGAGGGGGAGCGAGAAGGATGGAAGGAGAAGGGGGAGCGAGAAGGATGGAAGGAGGGGAGTGTAGGAGAAGAAAGCACGCGGCAGAACCAGCCAGGCAGAGCGGGCGGGTAGACCTTAACGGGCAGTTCGGGGAGGGGGGCCCGGGCGGTCAGGTCAAGCAGGCGGGTTGAATCGCTGCAGCGTGAGTCCTGCATGACTCGGGAGGAACTCTTGAGCGATTGCGCGATTCCCAAGTGAGTTATGATAAAGGCCAGAGCGAGAGCGTGATTCCTGAGCTTTCGAGGGCGCGACGCCTGAATCAGTTGCGAGGAAGTCCCATGCGAGTGCCCGATTCTTGTAAATGTGTGAGGAAATCCCGCGCGAGAGTCGGATTTTGGAGAATATGTTTGAGGAGGTACCAGGCGGAAGCAGTGTTTTTTGTAGTTCGGGGGCCAACACCGTAGTTATTAAAAGCAGGGTGCGAGCCCCGAGAGGAGCACGTTCATTGAAAAAACGCAATGCGCACCGTGGGTGTCAACAACGAGTATTCCTTAGGAATGAACCTCAACATCATCATCTTCAGCATCCGCATCACCATCATCAGCATCATCATCGTCATCATCATCGTAATCATCACCATCGCCATCGTCAATACCACCGTCGTCCTTCGTATCTGTATCAACATCATCTTCAGCATCGTACCAGCCTCCTCCTCACAATCATCATCACCATCACCATCACCATTACCACCACCATCAGCAGCATCTTCATCATCATCACCATCATCATCATCACCATCATCATCGTCATCGTCATCATCACCACCACCATCAGCATCAGCATCAGCATCAGCATCAGCATCAGCATCATCATCATCATCATCATCATCATCATCATCATCATCATCATCATCATCATCATCATCATCATCATCCTGCGTTTCCTCTGCATCATCACTCACTGTCGTCTCCCCCTCGCTCCCAGTGCCACTCCACAAGCTCCGGCCCTCCTCCTGGGCCTCGTCCTCCGCCTCCTTTGGAGTCGGGCGTGCGTGTGTGAGTCTTCCTCCGCGCCCTCTCCCGGGCCTTCCGCGCGACGGCCGCGGTGCGCCGCCTGTCGCCTCTCGCGCGCGCGGGCGGGGGGGGGGCGCCGAAGGCCACCGGGAGCCGCCGTGCTGGGCGGCTGCGGAGCGGGACTCCGCCTCGCGGCGGGGGTGGGAGGGGAGGGCGACGGCGGCGGCGGCTGGCTGGGGCCGAGGCGAGGGGGCAGAGAGCGAGGGAGGGAGGGAGGGAGGGGGGGAGGAGGGAAGGAAGAGGGAGACGGAGGAGGAGGACGAGGAAGAAGAGGGATGGAGGGCAGAGGAGGAGGGACGGAGGGAAGAAAAGAGGTGAGGAGGGAAGAGGAGTAGGGACGGAAGGACGAGGAGGAGGGAAGAGGACGAAGAGTCATCGCCAGAAACTCCTGTCCAGGGGAATCTGCTGAGAGCTCCTGGGGTTCACAGTTTGAGCAAAATCACGACGTCGGGGGTCTGGGTCCTTCGCCATTTCTTCCAGGAGGAGGGAGGATGAGGATGTGGTCGACGACGATGACGTCTACGACGGAGATCAAGGCGACGGGACGAGGAGGAGGAGGAGGAGGAGGAGGAGGAGGAGGAGGAGGGAGGAGGAGGAGGAGGAGGAGGAGAGGAGGAGGAGGAGGAGGAGGAGGAGGAGGAGGAGGAGGAGGAGAAGAGGAGTGAAGGAGGAGGAGGAGAGAGGAGGAGGACGGAGGACGAGGAGGAGGATGAGGGGGTAAGGAGGAGGAGGGGGGGAGGAGGAGGGAGGAGAAGGGGAGGAGGAGGAGGAGGGAGGAGGAGGAGAAGGAGGAGGAGGAGGAGGAGGAGGAGGAGGAGGGAGGAGGAGGAGGAGGAGGAGGGAGGAGGAGGAGGAGGAGGGAGGAGGAGGAGGAGGAGGAGGGGAGAGGAGGAAGGAGGAGGAGGAGAGGAGGAGGAGGAGGAGGAGGGAGGAGGAGGAGGAGGAGGAAAAGGAGGAGGAGGAGAGCAGATGAGGAGGGAAGAAGAGGAGGAGAAGGAGGAGGAGGAGGAGGAGGGAGGCTGGGGAGGCTGGGGAGGAAGTTCCGGTGGGCTCCATGGGAAGTGCCGCGAAGAGGTTTCTAACATTGGGGCCAAATTGCCTCCCCTGTCTACCTCCTGCTCACCCCTCCTCCACCTCCGCTCTTCCCTCCCGTCGTCATGCCTCCCCTTCCTCCTCCGCTCATCCACTCCTGTTCTTTCTGGTTGACCCAGAATCAGGCGATCGCAAACATGGATCAAGGGGGCGTGGATCAGCGACGGGGCCCGTTTCCATGACAAATCGCAGATGTCCGCCGCCGAGCGAGGCGGCACCAGCCGCATTTTGGGGCGGACACCTCCCCCGATCCATGGATTTGGCGACGGCGCGCCAAATCCATGGATCGCAAATCCATGTTTGCGCGCCCTCGACAGAAGGGGGTCCAGCGAAAAGAGGGTGGTGCAATAGATTTGGTGCAACAGATGTGTGGGGTTGCAGTACACTTGCCCCAGATGCTCGCGTGCAGTGCATTTGCAATGTAATTGCCCCTTCCAGCTGGACTTCCTTTCGGGTCGACCAAATTCTTGGTATCGTGGCATTTCGGACGGCCTCCAGAGGTTTTCGCGGGATCGCTGGGGGCGTCGAGGAGGAGGGAAGGGAAGGGCAGGGAAGGAGGCTCAAGAGGTCCCCACGAACTCTCAAAAGTACCGCGCAAGAGATCAGTAAACTCGCTAGTTCACTGATTCTGGGCCTCAGAAAATCAGTGAACTCGCTTGTTTACTGGGCCTTCTTCTCCCCTAATCCATCCTCCCCCCACTCTCCCTCCCCCCGCTCTGTCCTTCCCCTCCGCCCTGTTCCGTCGCTCCTAGCTTGGCAGGGAAGACTCCCATCCGAGGGTCGGCAGCCTCGATCTTACACTTCCGACTGGCAAGAGGCCTGGCTTTTCGACGACGCGCAAATCCGAACAGCTCCCTTCTTTCTCCTCCCGCCCCTCGAAGAGGCAAAACCGCGATGCGATAAACGTAACCTGTCGGTCCGCGCGGATGCCTTGGAACGTTGTTGGACCCCCTTTGACTTGCGCGCGAAGCGCGCCAGGGGCGGTGCCCAATGCGCCGCCAGGGGGCTCCAGCGCCGATCCAAGGAATCCGTGCGGACCTCCAGAAGCTCATGTTAAACACACATGTTGATATACATATGTGTATTTATATGATTGTTATATATACACATATGTATATCGGTATGCACACACATATCTATACATGTATGTCTATACATATATATGTATCGGAATCACGATCGATATACACATATATATATATGTACATATATACACATTTACATATCTATATATATATATATATATATGTGTGTGTATGGAGGACGCGTGATGGTGGGGCGATGAATTGGGGGGCAGCGAGGGCTGCGGAAAGGAGCCCTTTGGGCCCCTGAAGGGGCCTTTTAGGGCCCAGACGGGGGCCTTTAGGCCCCGAGAAGGGCACATTTCCCCCACCCCCTTCATGTATCGCCCCCTATTAATATTTCGCGCCCAATATTTTTTATCCTGTATGCCCTCCCCTCCCTCCCCCCCTTCAGACGGCCCGCCCAGCGACCGCCCCCCCGCGGGTTCCCCCCGCCGCGCGTGGCGAGGAGCCCGGCGTGCTGGCAGCGGGCGGTGGCGGCGCCGCGGCAGGCGTGCCGGGTAGGGGGGGGCGGATGCGGACTGCGCCACTGAGGCCTTCGGTGGAGCTCCCTCTGGGGCCACGAAGCGCTGTATTGGGCGGGGGGGACGCATGCGGACTGCGCCACTGGGACCTCTGGTGGAGCTCCCTCTGGGGCCACGAAACGTTGTACTGGGTAGGGGGGACGCACGCGAACTGCGCCACTGAGGCCTTCGGAGGAGCTCCCTGAGGAACCACGAAACGCTGTATTGGGTGCGGGGGGCGCAAGCGGACTGCGCCACTGGGACCTTCGGTGGAGCTCCGTTTGGGGCCACGAAGCGCTGTTCTGTCTGGGGGGGACGCATGCGGACTGCGCCACCGGGACCGTGGGTGGAGCCCCCTCTGGGGCAATGAAACGCTGTACTGGGTGGGGGGGGGGCGCACGCGGACTGCGCCACTGGGGCCTTCGGTGGAGCTCCCTCTGGTGGGTAAGAAGCGCTGTCCTGGGTGGGGGGGGCGCATGCGGACTGCGCCACTGGGACCTTGGGTGGAGCTCCCTCAGGGGCCACGAAACGCTGTCCTGGGTGGGGGGGACGCATGCGGAATGCTCCTCTTGGACCTTCGGTGGAGCTCCTGAAGGGGCCATGAAGCGCTGTACTAGGTGAGGGGAGTCATGCGGACTGCGCCACTGGGGCCTTCGGTGGAGCTCCTTAAGGGGCAACGAAGCGCTGTACTGGAGGGGGGAACGCATGCGGACTGCGCCACTGGGGCCCTCGGTGGAGCTCACCATGGCGCCACGAAGCGCTGTACTGGGTGGGGGGGACGCATGCGGGCTGCCGGGCACCCCCACTGGGACCTTCGGTGGAGCTCCTGAAGGGGCCACGAAGCGCTGTACTGGGTGGGGGAGACGCATGCTGGCAGTGCCAGTGGGGCCTTCGGTGGAGTTCCCTACGGGGCCGCGAGGCGCTGTACTGGGTGGGAGACACGCATGCGGGCCACGGTGGAGCTTCCTCCGGGGCCACGAACGCTGTACTGGTTGAGGGGGGCGCATGCGGACTGCGCCACTGGGGCCTTCGGTTGAGCTCCCTCTGGGGCCACGAAGCGCTGTATTGGGCGGGGGGGACGCATGCGGACTGCGCCACTGAGACCTTGGGTGGGGCTCCCTCTCGGGCCACGAAGCGCTGTACCCGGTGGGTGGGAAAGACGCAAGCGAATTGCGGAGGAGGGAGGATGAGGGGAGGGAGGAGAGGCGAGGAGAGGAGGGGAGAGGAGAGGAGAGGATAAGGAGGAACGCGGGGCGCTGTCTCGTCTAAGCAAGGACCCAGCACCACAGGATGGTTGGGACCGAATGGTCTCGGAACTGTTTGTGGTTTGCACGACATATTCCTACAGCGTGTTTGGTCGAGACTTGGTTACGGTAGGTTTGCGTCGTGTCGACCAGCGGCGACCCCAGCGCGGGCGTTCAAGGTTGAACGCCGCCGGCGGCCCAGAATCGGTCGATGTTGAACGATCGGACGTTGCGGCAGCGGCCGATCGTTCAAGGTTGAACGATCCAGCGCGGTGTCAAAAACCAACGCCGGGGTCGGCACGACACGAACCTGCCGTATGTTTATACATCGTGTTTGTGCTATACAACAACTGCCTGTTGTTATTCGCACATTTCTTGATTCTAAGAGCACGTGTGGTAATCCTACAGGAATGTCGGGACGGCCGGTCCCTGCGCAAGGGAAGTTGCCACCCGAAGGAAACCGCATTAGCTTGGCGAGGGACCCAGCCACATGCAGTTGTGAATATTGCAGGTGTAGGTCTCGTCTTCGGTGGAGCCCCCGTGTAGGGCCATGAAACGCTGTACTGGGTGCTGGAGACGCATGCGGACTGCGCCACTGGAGCCTTGAGTGGAGCCCCCTATGGGGCCACGAAGCGCTGTACTGGTTGGGGGGACGCATGCGGGCTGCGCCACTGGGGCCCTCGGTGGAGCTCACCATGGCGCCACGAAGCGCTGTACTGGATGGGGGGGACGCATGCGGGCACCCCCACTGGGACCTTCGGTGGAGCTCCTGAAGGGGCCGCGAAGCGCTGTACTGAGTGGGGGAGACACATGCTGGCGGTGCCACTGGGGCCTTCGGTGGAGCTCCCTAACGGGCCACGGGGCGCTGTACTGGGTGGGAGACACGCATGCGGGCACCCCCACTGGAGCCTTCGGTGGAGCTCCCTCTGGGGCCACGAAGCGCTGGACCGAGTGGGGGGGGCGCCTGCGGGCACCCCCGTTGGGCCGTTCGGTGGGGCTGCCTATGGGGCTACGAAGCGCTGTAGTGGGTGGGGTGGGGGACGCACGCGGGCACCCCCATTGGGACCTTCGGTGGAGCTCCGTATGGGGCCACGGAACGCTGTATTGGGTGGGTGGGTGGGGGGAGGCGCATGCGGACACCCCCACTGGGGCCTTCGGTGGAGCTTCCTCTGGGAGCACGAATTGTGTGAGGGGTGTGCCAAAGAGGGGGGTGACTCTCGTCAAAACGAGGACCCAACACAGCAGTACGGTTGGGAACGACACACACATTTACTTTGGGAGTGTGCGCGTGTTTCTTGGAGTTGTGCTGGAAACCCTGGTGACGCTTCCTGCGCTCCCCTGGCACGCTCCGCGTGCCAGGGAGGGGGCTTAAACGCAGATCCAAGAAATCCGCACGGAAATCCTACGTTTATGTTTATGCAGTGTCTCCTTTCCCTGACCACCCGCGACACCATTAACCTTGACAGCGCGACGCAATATGCTCTTACGATTCCAAGGCCTCAACCGCAGATGGTCTCAACTGCTGCACCCGACACCCGAATCTCTCGGCCAGGAATAATTGTCTACCCTCTTATCGCCCACCCCTCCTCTCCTTCGTCGTCGTCATCGTCGTGATCGTCGTCGTCGTCGTGATCGTCGTTGCCCTCGTCTCCTCGCCCTTCTCGTCGTCGTCGTCGCGATCCTCGTCGCCGCCGTTTTCATAAGAGGCTCGCGCAAGTGACCTTGTGCAGTAAGTGATCGCCACGGTTGCGCTGAGCTTGTTCGGTGTTGACCTCGCGTTGAATTATTTGCGCAGTATTGCCCGCCGTGGTGGATATTGTTGGGTGGTTATTTCGCCAATCGGAACATGCTTCCTGGGCTACCCTGCTCGACAGAGGGGGTTTGAGTTTTTTTGTGGTAACAGTGGTGGCAGTAGCCGTAGTCGTAGTCGTAGTAGTAGTAGTAGTAGTAGTAGTAGTAGTAGTAGTAGTAGTAGTAGTAGTAGTAGTAGTAGTAGTAGCAGTAGCAGTAGTAGTAGTAGTAGTAGTAGTAGTAGTAGTCGCAGCAGTAGTAGTAGTAGCCGTAGTAGTGGTAGTGGTAGTGGTAGTAGTCGTCGTCGTCGTCGTCGGCGTCGCCGTAGTGGTACTAACCTTCGTCGCCGTCGTCGTCGTCGTAGTTGTGGTAGCCGTAGTCGTGGACGTGGTCGCAGTAGCAGTAGCAGTAGTAGTAGTAGTAGTAGTAGTAGTAGTAGCAGTAGTAGTAGTAGTAGTAGTAGTAGTAGTCGTAGTAGCAATAGTAGCAATAGTAGTAGTTAGTAGTAGTTAGTAGTGTATGCGAGTAGTAGTCTAGTAGTAGTAGTAGTAGTAGTAGTAGTAGTAGTAGTTCGTAGTAGTAGTAGTAGTAGTAGTAGTAGTAGTCGTAGTAGTAGTAGTAGTAATTGCAGTCGTAGGCACTC